TTAAGTATTATTTTTATATTTGCCTGGGATTAAGCAATGTGGCTATTATAATCGTGCTTGTTCTTCACTTCGTTAGTTTGCACAGCCGTTACGCCTTGCCAATACCTCATAAATAATAGACTATTCTATTTTGATAGCGTGGAAAGAGGGGAAAAAACACTATTTAGATTCAGTGAGAAAATGAAAACAAATAAGGAAAAGGGAAAGATACAAGTGAGAGAGAATCAGATCAAGTTGATGAGAACAGATACTACACCTTGATCTTAGCTAAAAAAATTTAAAAAAAAAAAGAAGAGAAACGATTGAATTTTCTTTCCCCTCCACTCTGGTAGAATGTAACACAAAGTCAGATTAATGTAGGGAGCCCGACGCGCGTGCATCCGGACCGGGTCCAAAAATAGCTGGTATCGGTGTTGCTATGGTTCTTCCCTTTTTAGTGCAATGAGAGAGGGGTACTTCCGCGGGCAGTTGTTTCAGACCGAATACCTCTCAATAATATTTCCAGCTGCGCTCTGTCCGAAGCAGAGACACAACTGGGAGACGAAATCTAGTTTATCCACCCACGGGCGGGTACTATACTTTGATCCCATCCGAAAGGCCCAGAAACAATTGTACTTTCTTGCCAAGAACTGATGGCTGCCGCGATAAATGCAGGATTTTTCAGATGCACAATATCGATCGACAGAAACCGAGTACGGTATTCGCCAAAAATCCAGTTACCATATCTTCTACTAATGACTAATAATAATAATAATAATAATAATAATAATAATAATAATTGAATTCACAGTGCATCCCAAGATCTCACAGGGCAAATCAGTGAAATCCATCAAGCATAATACACTGACTGCAAATGCAACTGACCAGATACTGAAACGATGGCAAGATAAACTGCTTCACTGTCAATACTCTGCCAGTAGCAAACAAGCTGATGCAGACAAACCCCATACCCATTAGTGGCTACATAGTGTAGGGTTAAAAGCTGAAACTGAAAACTAACTAGAAATTACCAAGCAGACATACTGAAAAATTGTATAATCCCGAAATCCAGGTACTGTGATAAATATCAAGAAACAATTGACCCTCTTGTATCAGATTGCGTGGTATTGGCACCCACTCGTCATAACAGAGACTGGAAAAGCTGGAACTTTTGCGGAAAAGAAACTGCAAGAAATTGGTATGAACATCATCCAGACCCAGTTACGGAGATAGAACCTGTAACAATTTTATGGGACTTTACAATACACACATAAAAAAAAATCAAAGCTAATCGCCCAGAAATCGTGATCAGAGACCGCAGAGGCAAAATGAGCCTTTTTACAGATATGGCAGCCCCTGCAGACTGCAATGTATCTGTTGTGGTAGGATCCACCTAATTTGCATAGTGGAGTACCGACCATATAAATATGGTTGGTACCGGGAAGAGAGGGAGGAATTAAGAGATTCAACCAGAGACTCTGCCCGACTGCAAACTCAGTCAACACATTCTCCAGGAACGGTCTTACCAGGAATATACAAAAGACTATATGTAAATATTGTGTACACTTTCTTGTTTCAATACATTTTGTTCTAAGTACATTTTGTGTTGCATTATTATTCCATGCATTAGTCAAGTTTCAACAGTATCTTTGAAGATCTTCAAAAAATTATCAGAATACAAAGACCTTGAAATCGAAATCTTAAAAATATAGCACATGAGGACATCAACAAATCCATTTGTAGTTGGAGCCTTTGGATTGATGGAAAAGATTCCAATAGACTCATTGAAGGGATTCCTGGTAGCTCATGCCTGAAGAAAATGCAAAAACTTTATCCCACAAGTACAGCCCACACCTTACGAAGGGTTTTATCTATGTAAAATATGTTTGATTTTTTTTTCAAAACTGCTCAGTGAAAAATGTCATGTTGCCAATTCTGACCTAGCACTCTCTTTTGTGCACTGAAAATTTCAACTGTCAACCTGATGTTAAGCATAAGTTTCCTTTTTGTTTCTATTTGCTCTAAAACTTCATGGTTGCTCACATGTTCGGTCCATATTATACTCAGCATCCTTCTGTAGAACCATATTTTTTTTCCTGTAAGTCTTTTCTTGATCTTTGAGGAGATTAGTTGGGTGTTTTTGTTTAGCGTCATGTCAGCTTCTATGGGTGATTTAATGCCGAAATTTAAATATTTCGTACGCATTTCTTTTAATTAAAATCGTTTTTAGTGATACAAGTCTTACTAATTAACTCATAGTTGGAGGAAAAGAGGGGGATTGATACCTTTTCCCAAGGGTATTTGTGCGTTAGTGACTATAACGAAGCTAACAGAAACTGGAACTCGGCTCTCCGGATTAACAACTCCGAGCCATCATCCAATACACCAACCGCACATCCAAAATTACAGTACCTGGTATTCCCAAGCGGTCACCCATCTAGGTACTGAACAGGCTCGATGTTGCTTAACTGTAAGCTTAAAGAGACTGTCCAACATTCACTGCCATATAGGAGGACTGATATTTCAGGATCGTTACCCTATCTACACAGAAAGGCCACAACACAATTGTGTTTATAAATAATTTTACGATAACAAATAATTAGTCAGATCCTCATAGTTATGAAGTATAAACCCACTTCCTTTATGAAGGATGGTAGGTCATCTGTATCGACATTTTCAAATAAGTTTTCCAGGCTCCCTTGCTTTCAAATCGCTGTCTAATGGGAACGGTACCAGATATGGTGCAGATTAAAACTAAAGTTTGACATAACGACGCTACGACCTTTTTTTTCTTATTTTATGTACCATGTCCCTTCAAGACGTGGGCGATCATGGCTTCCAACAACTTCCTATCCTTTATAGTTCTTAGCAACGTTTGTATTTCTACTAACTATCCCACTCCATGTTCTACCATCCATTTACACAAACAGGCTAGTTAGATCACTTGCCATTTGCGTCGGCCCTTCATTTGGCACTCACAGGTCATATTGAAGACAAGAGGGACAGAGGAAAGCTTCGAATAACCTACGAAACGAGTTGGCAGGACAGAGACTAAGAGAGATAGAAAAAAGATGAGCTTTACTCATAGTGTGTGTGTGTGTGTGTGTGATACGCCAAGGGTTTTTCATATACTTTGATTTAGTTGACAACTTTCATATAGTATGTTCTTATACAATAGATATTAGCTATCTTTAACAAGAACCCAGTTTCTTTCTTCAGTTGTCCTCTGCGCAAATTTTAATCTGCAAATCTTGAAATATTGCTAATGTTGTTTTAGTTTCTATATTTGTTTTAGTTTCTATATTTGTTTTTTGAACCTGCCTTTCTGTCATTTCTACTATAGAGATGTAACTGGGAGCTATCATAAATAAACTTAAAAATATATATATATATATATATATATGTGTGTGTGTGTGTGTGTGTGTGTGTGTGTGTGTGTGTCTGTGTCTGTGTCTGTGTGTCTGTGTAAATGGGCAAAATCCGTGGGTATGTAATCCAAGTAGATCGTAATAATATAAAATATTAAAATTAACAAACGTTTTAGCATTGACAATCTCCAGGGAGATTATACCGGCGTTGGTGGGACGATCAAAATGGCGTACAATTGAGTTCCATTTTTATGTAATATATATATATATATATATATATATATATAGTAGCAGCTGTAGTAATCTGGTGATGACAGTTATGATGTCTTTGAGTGGTGTTGCAAATGATTGTGATGGTAGTGATAAGCAACTTGCTAATGAGAGTGGTGGAGAAGATGGGTAGGATGGAATTGAATAATATGCTGACAGAAGTAGTAATTGCAGAGGTGGCTGTGATGCTGAGGGTAGAGGTGACAGAAGCGTTGGTGAGTATCAATGAGGAAACAGGGGGAGAGATAACTGTAAACAAAGGCAAAAACGAAAAATTGGAGGCCAAAGTAATAGAAAGCGAGCAGAAGGTGGAATAAAAGAAGACAATGAAGGTCAAAGAAGGACCACAGGACCAGAAAGAAGAAAGAATAAGCAGAGGGTTTTGGATGTTAAAAAAATAAAAATTGAAGAACGACGCCATTATGTGTGACAGGAAGACTGACAGCTTAGCGGGTTTCCTTTAAAAAAAAAAAAAAAAGAAAAGATGAAACGGTTGACATGGCTGCTTGTGTATGCTGTCACCTGCTTCTATCCTGAGTGCCTGTACCGAGCCTCATCGAAGACTGGGTTGGTGAGAAGCTGGTTGTAGCACGGGATTGCCGGCTTTTATATCGCCTTCATTGCATTTTATGATTGGTTTGTATTCATTTGGTCCGCCCTCATACGGACGACGCATTTATGAATGCCTTTCGAATTAGCTCGTCTTTAAGTCTCGGGCTTCGATGATGCGTAATATATACATCAGGGTAGGAATGCATAGATTTCCATGTGCATTCGTTTGTCTGTGAGCTGGGTATTTTTCTTCACGCGACCCCTTTGCATGCTCTCACCTGCACATAAAACGCAAATCCATATATATATATATATATATATATATATATATATATATATGTATATTATATATATATGTGTGTGTCTATGTATATTACAATGAATCATTTATACAAAAAGTGAATTAGTAAAGTTAATGATATAAAATGGCGAAATCCCTTCACTAACAAAATTTTAAAGATGCATTATCCTACTAATCACTCGATGAATGTTATGATCCTTGTTTTCTAAAATTATAAGCAACCTGAAGATGACTGAATGTACAGTCGAAAGTACTTGCGTATTAAAAAAAGACCTTATACGGCTTATAATTTAAAAAAAAAACAAGGATGATCGAGTGGTTAGTAGAATCACAACTTCAAAATAACAGATTCTATGTACCCTTACCTCTAGACCCAACTAGCACATTCAAAACAGAATTATCACTTCTCACTCAGAACCTGAACTACAACATAAAAGGTGTTTTAAATCTTTATAAATATTTCAATAGCTAAGCAATTTCTTTAGATATAGTAAAAAAATATTTTTTAAAATATTTATGACAGTTAGATTTAAGTTAGGAATATCTGAACAGTGACGTTCCATATCACGTGACGTCCGTGTCTCTCGAAGGACGCTACTTGCCAACAAACAGTAATTTTAATTTATTTGTAACAAACAGTTATTTCTGATGAAAAATTGAGGACAATTTGAAATATCAAATATATATATAAATAAATAAATACTTTCATAAAATAAAACATTATAATTTTTAATTTGAAACTTTTTCTATATATACATATTAAGAAAGTATACGTGGCTTCTCATTATGCTATATATATATATATATATATATATATATATATATATATATATATATGTGCATATTTCATTGAATACGACAGACGAGGTGCATTGATTTAATTTTTTACGCAATTTCAACCTTGAAAATGTTTAAATGTATAGCTGAAAGCGCTCAGATAAAAAGAACAGTTGGATAGTTTTTTATATATTTATCATCTCCAAAAAAATATGATCACATTAGAAATTGTAATTGTAAAACTAAATCAAAGCACCTTGTCTGTCGTATTCAATGTAATGTTCATTGAAAAGCGATTGCGGCCAAAATACACACACATATATATATATATATATATATATATATATATATATATATATATATATATATATATATATCAGAAAAAGAGCACACAGCATTGGATATATACATACGCAGAAAAAATATTCTCATGCAAAAATCTACTATAAACATACAATAAATATCTAATAATCTCTTCATTTCTCTCTCTCTCTCTCTCTCTCTATTTCTCTCTGTCTTTCTCTTTCTCTCTATATTTCTATCAATATATTCATCACATAATCTATTCATGATCAATATCATGTCTATCAGCTAGGAAAATGCACTCAGACGTCGATACACACACAAAGTCTATATGTTTAATTCTTTATTATATTTTTCCAGCTTTCGGATAAAGGATTCGAAGTTGTGGATAAACTGTCCGAAGTTCATGTTTTCTTATTTATGTTCAAGTACTTCAGACCTTTGTAAACATTATGAAGAACTCTCTGTGTGTGTGCACGCGTGTATGTGTGCGTATGTGTGCGTGTTTGTAGGCATCTGTGTATATTTGCTTCTAACTGATGAATAGATATAGATAATGAACAGAATATCATAGAAAGACGAACAGGACTTTAGATAGATAGATAGATAGATAGATAGATAGATAGATAGATAGATAGATAGATAGATAGATAGATAGATAGATATGAACAAACTGTTAAAGATAGATAGATAGACAGATAGATAGATAGAGATATGAACAGACTGTTAAAGATTGATAGATAGATAGACAGATAGATAGATAGAGATATGAACAGACTGTTTAAGATAGATAGATAGATAGATAGATAGATAGATATGAACAAACTGTTAAAGATAGATAGATAGACAGATAGATAGATAGAGATATGAACAGACTGTCAAAGATTGATAGATAGACAGATAGATAGATAGAGATATGAACAGACTGTTTAAGATAGATAGATAGATAGATAGATAGATAGATAGATAGATAGATAGATAGATAGATAGATAGTTTTTGTTTGAGAATGATTATTTTCAGGGTCTATATATATATATATATATATATATATATATATATATATATATATATATCCACGCGGACATCTGTATGCATTTTCTCTGTAATATCGCATATGTCCCCGTACATGGGTACATCACTATATATGTACGTGTGTGTATATGCACGATATGTGCATGTGCATGCGTGTGCTATGGTGTGAATCCAATCTCTTATCAATCAATGCATCACTTTTAATGTCCGCATCAACAAGGCTTGTCCCTTCTTTACACCTGTGCCTCCTTCCTTTTCTTCTTTTTCTTCTTCTTCTTCTTCTTTTTCTACTTCTTCTTCTTCCAACACTCGCCTCGCTGTCTGCGCCCGACGCTGCACAGGTGGCGCGTTGGACATCTTAACAAAATATCAGTGATATCAATTACGCCTGGTCGCAAAGGTTGGAAGCGAGGCGTTCACAGTGGCCCATTTACGCACAAAGCGAGGTTCGAAGCCTCTATTGAGGCCAAGCGACATTAACTACAATCGTTGTCAACTAATGAGCAAGGTACTTGAACCCGCATATGTTGTCATTTCCTAGGTGACCACTAAGGGGCGGAAATAGAGAGCGACACTTGGTACAACAAGAGACTGTATGGGGACAAGAGAGTGACACGAGCGCTGAATGGCGTTAGGGTCTGCGAATTAGCGCGAATATGGCCCAATGGGATGAGAGCGGGGAGAGGAAAGAGTTTGTCAAAGACAGGGTGCGAGAGAGAGACACAATGTAAGGGAAAGATGGGAAGTGTCGGATCGAAGGAAATATAAAGTGAATGGCGGCTTGAAAAAGGAAGGAAAACGGAAAGAAAAATTAGTTGATTTTAAATTATATTATGAAAAGAAATAGTGAATAGATGAATGAATGAATGAATGGAAACAGGATGAATGAGCGAGTGAGTGAATGAAAGTGAATATAAAGCAAAAAAGAAAAAAAAAAGAAAAAGGCGAAATATAAAAGAGAAAAAAGAATGAATATGAGAAAGATGAAAATAATAATGAGGAGAAAGTTCTTGTGAGACGAAACACAAAGAAAGAAAAAACGAAAGAAAGAATGAAATAAAGAAAGAAAAGATTACCTGAAAGAGAAAGGTAGAAAGAGATATGTTAATAAGAAAACACAAGGAAAATGCACTAAAATTAAATATAGAATAATGGTATCATCCATCTACATACATATCTATTTTATTCTGTCCGTATCTATCTATCTATCTATCTATCTAATTCTGTTCGTATCTATATTTCCATCTACCTATCTATAGTTCTATCTTATTCTCTTCGTATCTATCTAGCCATCAATCTCATTTACTTCATATCTATATATCTGTATCGACCTACCTATCTATTTTATTCTCTTCGTATCTATCTACCGATCAATCTCATTTTGTTCATATCTATATATCTATCTATGTATCGACCTACCTATCTATTTTATTATCTTCATATCTATCTATATATCTATCTTATTCTCTTAGTATCTGTTTAGCTATCTCATTTTGTTCACAGCTATCTATCTTTCTATCTTCTTCAATTCGTATGTATCTATTTGTTTATCTGTTTCATTTTTGTTCATGTCTATCTATCTATCTACTTATCTATTTTATTTTGTTCGTATCTATCTATGTCATTTTGTTCATATCTATATATCTATCTATCTACCTACCTCCCTATTTTATTCTGTTCATATATATATATTCATATCTTATTCTCTTCGTATCTATGTAACTCACTTTGTTCTATCTATCTATCTATCTATGATATTCTCTTCGTATCCATCTGTCAATCCATCTCATTTTGTTCATATCTATCTATCTTTCTAGCTTATTCTCTTTGTATATATCTATCTGCCTATCTAATTTTATTCATATCTATCTATCTATCTTGTTATGTATCTATATAAATATTTTTATGTGTATTTTTAGTTATATGACTATTCGGATAAAAAAGAGTATAAATAGATGCGAGAAAACATTTTATTTTGATAACATTTATCTCTGAAATAATCCATTTTTAAACAATCCTAACAACAAGCAAGTTCCCCGGGCAAACTGGGCAACAGAGATGTGGTTCTATCGACGAATACAAAGAATACCATGAACAGAACATATGAACAATGAGAAAGAACTACAAGAAAATTTATACTTAAATCAACAAAGATTAAATTGCTGAGGTAGCCCATGAAAAAGAAGACCTAGAGAATTTAACGCACACAAGGCAAGAAATGTAGGCTGGAACAGTGAACCACGATTACTGTGTCTGAGTGGGACAGAAAAGAGACAAAAGGTATGATAAAGGTGTTATTTAACACAAGAAAAAACGTTAAACTATTAGGGGTCACTTCCAAAACACTAAATAACAAGAGCCTGAATTCTGATCTCTCCTATGAACTAGCTCTAACAGCTAAATGGGAGAATAAGTATCTTGTAACATTCAAGCTGGTAACTTTTCATCATCACCGAGCAGAGCCTGAATTTTTTCTTATCATGATGAACGGTTGTAATCTTAATAAGGCTCCTTGCCTGACATTTCTACTAGGACTGAAGTTCTACCCAGACCTCAAGTGGAAACCAATGCTAGAGAGGCTGGAATAATTATTGGTACCGCTCCAGAAAGTATCTGACTCCTCCTACCATGCTCTATATTTACAAGAGTCAGATCAGACCAATTGCTGCGATATCTGTGCTGGAGATGCTCAAACCTCACTCTCTAGCCTTTGACAGAGTCCAAAAATTTCTGTTGGCCTTTTGGGTGATGAATTATTTTCCAACCCACAACTACTTCCCCACAGGCGATAATGTCGCAAGCCTTTTGCTACTCTGTCGCTATTTTCATGGAAAATATTCAGACAAGTTAACTTCCTGAATTCCATCAGTTTACGGCTATGATCTGTCATGCTATGTATAGATGGTGGGATCGAATCACAATTATTCCCTTCGTAGTCTGTTGGTAAGAAGGAACATCCATTCGGACAGTTTCTTCCCAATAACCACTATTTTGTGTAAGTGATACTTAAGAAGTTGCTTCTCCGATCACGACAATCAAGTCTCGTGTCAACCGTTATCTACTCTCGACATCATTCAGTACACCTCTACGTTGAGCTTGTATTTGGTGAACAGCAAAAAAGAGAAGCAAAAGTGGTAGAGATCCATCATCTCCCGCATTCTGAAGGAATGTAACACTTAATGTCATCGAATTGGTGTATAGTTGCAGTTACCTAATATATATTTCCAAAAGTGTCCTATTATAGGTGTTTGTGAAACAGATAGAACTTATCTGCGTCCCTTTCGGAGTATGGCTGTCATGTGCAAAATAAAGTTTGTGAGTTTTCTCGTTCTCTCATATTTTGGGATATTGCCCCTGTTTTAGCACGTGATTAATAAGTAAAAGATTTGTTCTGCTTAATTTAACTAATGAATCAAT